CTAAGCCAGAAATTGTCGTGCCCTTCTCCCTTGTTTTTGCCGGCAGTACTATCTGGCGTAACGACACTGTCATTTGCGTGCCACTAAACCGTGTCAAATGTAAATGCCTACCGGCACTCCATTAGTAGGCAGCCGCAGATGTGAATACGCATCATCCCAGATTAGTGAGGGAATAGAATTGCCAATACAAGCGAAAATTTTAAAAGTCTATTTGGCAAACCTATGTTTACGGCAATTCATCATCGGACCAGTACAATCGCATGGAGAATGAAAGAGTTATGTACAGTGAATATATGGTTCTCGGTGTGCATTTACTCTTTCACCTGCTCTTGTGGAGCAGGATACATTGACCGAACAACGAGGCGCCTGGAAAAGAGGGTACGTGAACACACACCGGCCTGACTAATTAATAAAACTGGATCAATCTCGGGTTATATTCTCGCACACCTTGTCGATAAGAATCACCGAGTCCATCGTAACGAAGCCTTTAGGGTGGTCTACCGGACACCAGCCAAGTCCTTCAATGGTCTACACCAGCTGAGACAGTGGCAATCCGCTTAGCAAAACCAGCTCTCTGCTGCCAAAAGACCTTAATACAGACGATTAGTCTCCCCCGACAGGCTACAGGCGGGAATCGCACGGCGCGTATCTGGCATACAGACCTCAAACAGTCTGTTTTGAAAACGTCCTTTCTCCGCCGAATTCCGCACGCCAACGTCCTCAACACGCCCACCCCCGCATGCACGAGACGAGGGAACGAAGAGGTGACTAAACACCCACCGTCCACACCACGAGAATCATATAAACACTGTACATAATTTACTGTCTCATTCGCTATGCAATTATACCGGCCCGATAATGAATCGCCGAAAACAAATGTTTGCAAAATAGAGTATTCAGACTTTACAGAACAAGCGAAAATGTCAGTCAGTCAGTCCTACGAAGTACTTAAGGAGAAGCAGATATGATCGCTGGGAAGAATGGAATAGCGAATGAAATAATAATGATCGAATATCAGGCAATACAGTTGGAGGCTCGAAAATGATGTTTATCTATGGTGAACTTGACGAGAGAGGGGGGTGCTACTTATTACAGAAAAGGGATGCCGTCAGGTTCCTGGCAATCTGATTAGGGGTGAAGCTCGAAGCGAAATAATTGGGGTACTGGATAGGATTTACGCCTAGCTGGGGATTGCCGCACGTTTGGCACCAATCAAGACCATACTGACTGTCACT